TTCTGCATATTTCTAATCAAAGCATTATCGTATCCGTTCCTACGGAACACAAAGCAAAGGTGTCCTGACGCGGATGTATAGCTCAGTGGTAGAGCACTCGACTGCAGATCGGGAGGTCCCGGTTCAAACCCGGGTGTCCCCTTCTTCAGGGAAGTGAAGAGAAGTATTTTTCTGAGAATTTCGAAGGCGGGAATGATTTGTCCCGTTCTGTATATTTCTTGACAAAGGATTTTCGCATCCGTGACGGCGTGCGCGCGCATTGTAAAAATTCACCCTCATCTTATTTCTCTAACGCCCCAAAAGAAGTATAACTTCAAAAAAATAATAATAAAGCGGTACTCTCTCTCTCTCTCGATGGAAATGCAAGGATTGGTGCATTTTACTTTGATAAGCAGGAATTTTATGCACTCCAAATTTCAGAATTTGTTACAAAGTTCGTCAATGGATGGCGCTTCAGACAGGAAAAATTATAAAACTATTTCTTTTGTGTGTGTTCGTATCTATGTTTTATAATTATCTCAGTATTTTGGCATGCATTTTGGAAATTGTTTACTGTTCGGAACTGCGAGATTCATTACTTGGACAATAGTTTTGTAGCAACTAGACACAATTTTCAAAGTAAATTCAGAAACGGACCGGTGCAGTACAATGAAAGCACGTGGAAGCGGTTTAGTTGAACATGAGCTTAAATTTGTTGTAACACATATTTTCTCTCTCATTTAGGTACCTTTATATTGTGAAGTACTTTTATAAACAAAATATATTTTTCACAAGTATGAAAAACAATCAAAAAGAATTGGTGAACTTGGTTTTTACTAAAATAACTGCATAATTTCTATGACTTTTTTTTTCTTTTACATGTGAAATGAGTTTTTAAAAAATAATTAGACAATATACGGAGTGAAAAAAAATCATAGATTCATATTTAGTTATTTTCCTTTAAGTGAAAAAAGGAATGATAGTGTCTATATCAAACACAAGAGGAAGTAACCTTTTAAAATTTATGAAAATATGTATGGTATTTTATTTTAAATATTTAGGGGTCATTTTACAACTTATGTTATACATTTTTAGAATTAGAAAAATATTCAATAATTCTTAAAATCAAAATTAAATTGAATTTTTTGAGAGTGTATGATGTCTTGGTACCCACAGAAAAACATCATTTTTTGTAATGTATTTATATAGATAATTGAGAGCAATTTAAGTTTGTGCCAGTTGCGCAGTTTTTCAACCATTCATGTTAAATACACATAAAACACGCGATGGCTTTCATATTCTTAAAAAGGAAATTATCTTCTTTCAAGTTATTACTTTCGCTACCATCACTTTTTTTTTCATAATGACAAAGCACCTCTGAATATAAATTTTTACAGATATCTCTCTAATTAAGTTACTAAATTCATAATCAAGTAATGTTGCAATTATTTATAGTTAGATGTTACATTTCGTATACAAAATATACGTATTTCAATAAAATCAGATATAAAGTAGTTAAATAGATAAAGAAGCGCATTACAGTGACTAAAATTATATATATTTTTACTTATATGATTATCTCAAGGACATATTCTATAAAAGAGAAGAAAAATTTAAATTTAATTATTCAGTTTATTATTGAGTTAATTGCATTGTGTGTTTTTAGTAAATATATTTTAGCTACAAAATAAGAGCTAGAAGTCGTATACTTTATATTTTACAAGCGTTAGGGAAATGACTTATTTTATTCTGTTTCTTAGTTAATTTTTTTCAAAAAAATGTAAAAAAAAAGTTTAATTTACACATTTAAATATTACATGTTTATAATTGAAAATATCAGATTAAGAAAATTTAAGCATTTTTTTACTAAAACATAGTTACGTTTGCTTTACAACAAATAGTTAAAATTTGGGTCATATTTATTTCTCTTATAAGAGATATTTTGTGAAATATGTTCGTCTCTGGAAAAATCAATGGATAAAACATTCACTTTTTTCTGCAATATCGAACAGTCTGGAAAATATACAGGAATGATATTGGGCGCAAGATACTCAGACGCCATTGCCAGTCTCAGCATGCGCTGTGGAAGACGGTGTACATTCATAACAATAACTGTTATGTCAACACATCAGCTCATCCTTTTTCTTTTCATTATTCGACTTCTTTCTTTGAACAATCCTTACAATTTTTTTCACTTCTTTATTTTTGTTTTCCAAATCTAGAAAGCTTTTGCGAGTTCATCATAACTTCCGCAATGAAAGATTTACTGGGAAACATCGGTTGGGTTGTTCAAGCTCGTAGGGTTGTTTGTCACTTTGCTGTTTTAGCTTTTGAGCTGGTTTCTTTTATTTCAATTTTTAAAATAGCACAACTGGTATGCGTGTTCGCTTATACTAAATTTTTTTCTTATATTGTTCATAACGTTTGAAAATCATTATAAAGAAAATACAATTACTTATTATGATGGTTACGGTGTTATTAATATTTTTACTACTGAAATATGAGAAAGAAAAAAAAA